TTCTGCAGTTTCCTTGGACAGTTTTTTACAAGTATTGATCCAAACTGCTTTTGTTGCTTCAAAGAGAGTGGGTATTGATTACTTGGGAAGAAAGGGGAAATCACAGTCGCAACCCCAAACAGGATAATATACTGGATGTACCGTGCTGTGAGTGGTATCTGCGCTGCGGAGGTATGGACAAGGGCCTGAACAAAAGTTAGCAAAGTAGCCCTTAGGCTCGTGGACCCATTTCCAGCCAAGGTCCTGTCGGAAGTCGATGTACAGAGGACGCACGCAGCAGTTCTCCTCCAGGTTCCTGAAACACAGTATTAGAACACAGTGAAGCTAAAGAGGGGCTTTATGTGCGACTGTATGATGTGGCTTCCTGGGCAGGACTTGTACCAGTAGTGCCCAGTGGGCGTGGTGTTTGCCTGCACCACATGCAGAGCAGCAGCACAGGCAAGCAGTGGCAGGCAGCTCAGCAACCTGGCACTGTTCATGCCTGCTGACAGGCTGCTTGACCACTGGCCCAGCGAGGCAGCACCCTACTTGTCCACAGCAGCACGTGGCTGCTCTCCAGCACCTGGAGCTAGCAGGACACTGCCATGCGTCCCTGCCCAAGCTGTGCTCCAGGAAGCTGCTTGCAAGTTTTCTTCAATTCAGTGGCTCAGCCAGAAGCACGCAGCAACTCTGCTGAGCTGGCCAGCATCCCCTTCTTGGACACCACAAGGAGCAGATGGCTGAGCCGTGCTACTCAGGTGGCCCCTGTGGCTCCCTGGTGACCCACAACCCCTTTGGAGGCCTCTGCCTTTCACGGTAGCATGAAGTCTCGCCAGGCTTGCCCAGCTCAGGCATGGGAGGGACCTCACCACTCCAGGCAGGACTCTCACCTACCGGAAACAGTAGTTGGTATCCAGGGCCCGTTTCTTTCTCTGGCCTCCAAATCCTGGGCTCTCCAGCCGATGTGGGGGTAACATCATCAGGATGAGGTGGGGATTATGCAAGTCTTTCTGCTTCTTCAGGCGTCCCAAGTCCCCACGGCCATAGTCGTCTTCACTGTCAATGCCTTCAGAGAAAAAGAGGATACACAAAGAAGAAATCAGTGTGGAAGTGGAGGATGCAACAAGACTTTTCAGTGCATTTAATATTCTCATGCCTGCCCTGAAAGCAGAGTGAAAGGGATTCAGGCACCACGTCCACTCACTCTGGGAACTTCTTTCCTCACAGGGACCCCTTTACTCCTGGTGAATCTGACTGCTGCAGGCCTAAAATAGAGGCTTACGGGCCACCTGTTTTACCATTTGCAAACTCGTGGTGGGGCCATTCATCCATCCCACTTGCTCCTGGCTTCAGTCCCAGGACAGGCAGGAAGATGAATGGTTTAAAGAAGATGTCAGATCATTGGCACTCTGCAGAACAGCCTCAGAAATGGAGCCTGTAGGGGCCAGTGGCTGCAGCCCAGGGCTCCAAGCCAGGAGGTTCCTAGTTCTTAGGCCCTCCAAGCCACTGGCTCTCTGGGCCACCTCACAAAGGATGCCTGACTTCCTTGTGTTTTTGTCACCCTAACTGGAAAGCAGAGTCTCCATAGAAATCTGAGAAAGCAGCAAGCTGCACTTCCCAGAGAGACACTGAAATACAAAATTACTCCTTTCTGCAGACACTCCTGCAAACCTACCCAGCCTGCACTTACTTTCTTCCATTTCTAACCTACATACAAAATAGATGTACCCATATAATCAACATGCAAACCCAGATGTGTGTGTATGCCTGAAGACAAAAGTTATGCAATATATAATGCTCAAATATGCAAAGCAAGACCTTGTTTTTCAGTTTAGATACTCTAGGTTTTCCTTTCCCCAACAAGCCTCCCATACCCAGCTCTTCATCACCTTTGAACTTGATCTCCAAGACTTCATGCAAATTCTCCAAGATGTCCCCATTGGGCTGAAAAGTGTGACAAGGACAGTGTATGCTGATTTCCAGGCCAAGGTTCGACTCTGCAAAGAAGATGACTCTGTGAGAAACAGTCTTCCACTGGTGGGACAGCTCTTGGCGCAGAGAAGTTTCACTGAGGACACAAACTGTGGTAACTCCTAGGCTGCAGGTCAGTCTCAAATTCAGGGATGCTATCAGAGTTGGGGACAGAAGCTGCCTTAGAAAGAAGAATGGGAAGCAGAATCTTGTAGCTTCACCTGTGCAAAAACCCTTGCTCTTGCTAAAGGGAGCTTCCTGCAAAGGTGAGAAGGGTGCTCCTGGTTGTTTTTTTTAGGCTATTTAGCATCCAAAAGCATCTCTGAGCTTCAAGGAGCTCCACTGGAACACAAGTATTTTGAAGACCTGGCTTGCAGTGTCTGTGTTAAATCATTTTGCCATCCTCAGTACCTGTCTGCTCTCTGGCTTCTGGCTAGTGTCTGAAGGAAAGATGTGAAAATGAGCGGGTTGGATATGGACAAGTAGTTTCACTGGAAGCATTTTTCTCAGCAGCTGCAGCCTCCTGTTCTGTTGAACTGCTAGCGGTCTAAGTCACACACACTTTCCAGAGGCAAGACTATTTTCATAATAACTTCCTGGACCAGTCATGCTGTGTGGGCCTGACTAAGGGAACTTAAGACTCTTATGAAAGCTTCTTTTTTATATTGTGCCATGAATTAAAACATCTGGCTCCCCAGGGTACTGACAAGGTGCCTAGCACTCTTTTTCTTAAGCACTGTATACTCTGTGATGTCTTGTCAGCTAGCATGCCTGCCCAGAGCTCGCTGCAGTTCCAGCCCTCAACTCCAGCCATCAGGACACAACTTAGATTGCTTGAAAAAGGAGGAGCTTACAAGCTCACATCTTACCCTTCCAGGGAGCAGCTGCTTGCCAGTCCCTACATTCCAGTTTGCAGTGGCACCTAGCTTCTATCTGCAAGGCCAGCCCAGCTGTGAGTCATGGTGCCTAAGCTCCAGTTGTGAATGGGGTCAGTGTTCTTGGGGGGAGCTACCCTATCTGTTGGGCTGCCCAGTGGTGGCAGAGGTATGTTCTCTGCAGTGCTAAAGCCTCCATCTGTCTAGGTTTGTCGGGCTTTGGTATTTCCTCACCTTTATACCTGACAAGCTGTAAACAGCTAAAGAAACTGGGATTCTTGCTGGTTTTTTTCCTACTAGATTTGCTTTATTCCACTTGAAAATTAAACGAGAGCAAGCCTCATTTTTTATGTATTACAGATCATAGTTTAGACAAGCAGAGGGGTCCCCTCTGGGCTTAGAATTGAAGAACAAAAAGAAGTTCCAGCATGTCTCAGTGAAAACAATTTCCTCCTCCAGAGGACGAATCCTCATTCTGACTCAGCCCACAGAGCTACACAGTGGGGACTCCAGGACAGAGCTGGGAATCAAGCAAACATCACACACAGAGGTAGCTCAATGGGGGAAGGCTTGTTCTCAGACTGAAAGGAGCTGCCCTCTATGTGAACCAAGCTCCTGCAAAAAGGGGAGCAGAGCAGCATTCCCATCAACACTGATCTACACTTCTATGATGCCTTGACAAATGATCCAGCTAAGACCCCTACCTCTGTGCAGAAGCCACTCACGCACAGTCTCGGTGACATCGAAGGACAGCCACTCAGGGGAGCCCCGTGTCTGCACATTTCTGCCACTGAGGTAGCGCTGCTTTGCTATGTGCTCATCCGGCCGAAGGATCTGCATGAGAAGGAGTGGTAGAGAGAATCAGCCAGTGCCGCGCATATGGAAGGTACAGCCTTGGGTCTTCTTTTTTCCCACAGCTTGCTAAAACCTAATTCAGAAGATTGGTCCCAGCAGATAAGACACCAGAAATACCCTGGCACAGGTGAGAGGACCTACTTCACAACCAACCTGGACTCCAGAGATCTACACAATGCTTATTTCTGTGTCCTAAGCAGCCCACCACTTACAATTCATCCTTGTTTCAGGGCACATATCCAGAGGTGAAAACACACAGAAACTGATCTCACGAGTGGTTTTGTTTCTGTATACACCCATGGGATGTGGGTCTGGATGTCAGTGTAGACCCAGCACTGAGCAATAGAGCATCTTGCCACAGGCCCAGCAAGCCTGCTGAGTCCTACACTGTGGTGTTTTCATGTGTCTTGCTCTCTTCAACTTCTATCAAAACACACCAGCGCTGATCAGGTTTGCAGACCTCTTCCCCTGCTATGACGTATCTTCCTGCTTCCAAACAGCCACAGCCGGTGCAAAGTGTTCCCTTCTGCAGGACCCCAAGTTCACTGCACAGAGTACTGAACCTACAGAGAAGCTCTGGGATTTCCTCCTTGTCAGTTGTGTCATCTGATGGAGAATTGCTCTGACCTTTGAAACTGAATTCCAGGAAGTCCTCAAGAGCTACCAGCCATGGGGCAATTTTTGCTGTGCTTTACTGCAAAGTGGACAGACATCAGCCTGTGGGAATGTGCCACCTGGATGCTGAACTGTACCATCAGCTGCGTGGTCCAGGCCAACCTAAGACCTCTTTGAAACCCGAATCAGATCTCATTCTGCCAAGGGCGTCCATGAGTTCAAACCAAGCTCCAGATAAGTACTGGTGCCATGAATGGTGCACCTGAGGAGCTGCTGCTGAAGGAACTTTGAAAGCAAGCATTATATTTCCAGTAAATCAGTGACAAGACAGCAAGCTCTACCCGTTGGATTAGCACCAACTGTACTGTGGCAGTCAAAGGAACAAAACTGCCAAGGGACCTAGGCATGCAGATGTGACAGAAGGGTCAGGCCTGCTCCAGTGCTGAGGGGTTCCCCTTCCAACCCCTCTCTCAGTGCAGCAAAAGCTGCAGTGGGCCCCATGCCAGAGTACCCTGAGCTGCCAGCCAATGTGAGTGGGAAAAGGACAGCACCACACTGTAAAAGGAAAGAAAGGTGACTGTATCACTGCATATGCTGGAAGAAACGTGGGGTATGGCATGCAATCTCTTCTGTCTTCTGTGGCCCTGCGCATACCAACTGAGGCAGCCATTAAGGAGCCAAGCTATTCTAGGCTCAGACACAAGGGAAGGTGAGAAAAATACTCACCTGGAACAGCTCAATGCGCTGCTCGCTGCGTTTGGAGCTCGGGTTTGGCACACGCAGCACCCGAAACTCGGCCCGGAACAAGTTGGTGCTGTTCTTCTCTGCCGAGGACACATTAAAGCGGAATACATTGGAGGTGACACCTTTTGGACAAATGCCCAACTCATCTAGGAGAAAGAAAGATGGAAGGACTGAGAACCATAGGTCAGAGGGGCAGGACCTCAAATATTTAAACAATATTTGCAGCTAGTGGGGCCCATTCACAACAGAGATGATGGTGTGACTGCTCATCCTGGAGACATGAACCCAGGGTGACCCCATTGCCACTGAATCCTAGTTTTACAAACCTTGCCATTGTCTTCTAGAAAGAAAGCCAGCCAAGTGTCCACAACGCATGAGGTGTGGAATATATTTTAGGGCAGCGACTATTCAGAGTGTACTGAAAGAACTGAGTTTTAAGATCAGTTCTAACTCATAACCTGGAGAAGGAATTCATGAATAGTACTAGATACAGAGTTCTTCAACGACAGAGTAACACTGCTGAGAGGCTGGTGGAGACCAGACACATGAACAGGAAATAACACAGCAATTCTGTGTGTCAAGAAAAATCCATTTCACAGATGCCCCAAAAGAGAGCAAGTAAAAGCTATGATGTTCAAAACAGTCTTCAAGAGAAAATAAGCTTCTCTTCAATGGGACCATTTTGGTCCCATGGGAAAATCTTTGTTGTTCCTCTCCTATTGACCTCTGTTAGTCTTCCAAGGCTCTAGCATCATTCAGGCTTCCTTCAGACAAGACACAGCAGCTCTATGCCCACATGCAGGTTTGTTTGCAGCCCTACAGAGCCTCTTGTATGACCTCTTGACTGTTGTCCAGTGCAACTTAAGGTGCCTGTCAGCTGATTGTTTTTAAACAAAAAAAGAAACAGAAAAAGTATCCCCTGTTCTCAGCCACAGCTCCAGCCTGTGACAAATAGTTGAAGCAACCTTCCAGTTGATTCCTGAAGCTGGCCCCTCTCTGCGCAAGCACTACTGTCTCCCCAGGGAAACAGCACCTGAGCACCACAGTTCATGTCCCACATCAAATTCTGCTTTGAGCAACAATGATGCACTGCCAGAGTCATATCCATGAAGATGAGGGTTGTCCTCTTGCACTGAACTCAGATTCAGCAAGCAGGAGATTGACAGTTTACAAAGATGTGTTCTTTGGGAGCTGTTTTACTCAGTAAGCTAAAGCTCACACTGGGCTTCAACTGGAGGGCGGTTTGTCATTTGTACCACTGAATGAACAGCTTCCCATACAGGAAAGTCTCTGGCTGCTATTTAAGAGATGTATGTTCAGTAGTCCCAGACCAGATCCCACTGCAGCCATGAGCTGGTATGCTAAGCTCAACAACCCTGCAATGCGAAGAGTACATCAAGCCACATGAGGACACCCACTGTGGGGACTCAACCACTGTGACCAGTTCTAGGTTTTATGCCACAGAAAAGCACTGCAGAAAACCCAAGCTCTGATCTCATTAACTGCCCAAAAGCATCTTCCTAGCTGAAGCCTAACACTGGTAACCGTTCTGCATCCTAGACTTAGGTAGATACTGTGTTTTAATGCTCCCCTTAAGCTGTTTTGCAGTCCTAGCCCTATTAATAGTGCTGTTAATAGCCTGCCCTTCCATTTCATACCTGGTTGCCTGTCCATGAGGGATGTCCCGGTAATGCCTTAATCAGAAATGCCTTTCTAGATCAGACCAGTGGTCAGCCTAGCCCAGTATCTGTTTGCAACAATACTGTCAATCTATTCAGAGGCTGAAGATCTAGTCCCACAGCACAGTGCAGATGACAGACAAAAATTTTTGTTTATCCTTACAATTTTTGGCTGTTAGGCAGCCATGGTGTTAAGAGGTTACTGTATCTGCTGTATTTTACCTGCTGTCCCCACACTGCCTTCTACCTACTTACTTCACCAGCAAGGTGCCGGTGTCTTGGGAGACATTCCTAGTGGAAATAGTAATAGCTGTCTTCCCTAAGAAGAAGTGTCATGTTCCCTTCATACCCCGGGAGCAAGCCCTTTGTGATGGAGAGATGGAGCTGCATTCTGTGTTTCACTGTGAACACGGTGCGGTTGGAGCCTGCTTCTCATAGGAGGGTGTCCAGGATACAGGTTGCACTCCCTGGAAGCTGACTGCTTTGGGGCAAAGTACTTTTTGCAAGAAGGCACAGGCTAAGGAGGTGAGCTGATTTTTTCAGGGAACTTGGTCCAGTCCCAGCTCAGGTGTGTTAATCACACTGGAATCCGGATGTGTCCACCTTCCACCTACCAGCATGGAGCAAAGCCTGGAGGCAATATTCCTGCAGGCTCTTCCAGTCCGCAACACTCAGTGGCAGTAACAGAGCCTGGAGACAGGGAATCTGCAACACCCTGTGTACCCATGCCAGGCTATGTCTGACATGATGGGATGTATCCTCACCATTAGATTGGGCTATTACTGTGGAACCCAGACAGCCCAGAGCTGCTGACTGCACAAAAAATGAGACCAGTAGCCTCTTAGTGTGGACAATGTATTACAGAGAGCAGGTTCATCTGGGATCTTCCCTACTTTCAGTGAGGTGCAGCTTCTCCATGTGCTGCCCATCCTACAGCTGCTGTTTCTGGCAAGCCCCAAGAAAGCTGAGGGCTGTGGCATTAGAGTTTGATGTCAAGGAAAAGCAAGATGTCTGTGAGCAGGTATTGCTTCACTCTGTATTACATCACTGCTTCCTCAAAGCTGCGTAACTTTGGATAAAAAATATTGATTCTTCTGGAACTTTGCAGGTGGCAGGTTTGGAGGGAAGAGACGCTTGGCCCCAGTGATGCATGGCTTTAATTGCCTTGTCTCTCAAGCTGGCTTGGAAAATGGCACCTGTTTTTCCTAAGGAAGGTAAGCAAAGCCATTTGCAGGACCATTGCAGATGCTCTCTGAACTTGAACTTAACCAAATCAGTGCTTAAGGGGGTCTGAACCCCCATGAGTTTTAGGAGAACCTTGAAGTGAATGGCTGGTCAAGAAAGAGTTATTCTCTAAAAGAAAGTCCCCTGTAAGTCAGGAAACGAGCCCAAGAAGCACAGCAGAAAAAACATTCTGTGAGTCACCAGACAGCTCAGAGTAGGAATGGGGAACCTGGTCCTGAATGTCCTTCCTTCCTAGAAGGATGGGGCTCTCCATGCTGCTATTTTTGCTCCCCAGTTCTCCTGACATTTGGGCCATAAGTCTTTGAGAAAGATGAGTTATCTGAGCCAGCGAACCGCTTGTAATAGTTTGGAGCTAGAACAGTTCATATGGATGTGAGTGTGCATGCACACACGCTTCAGACTTGTCTATCTCATCCTCACAGTTCCTTCAATGGAGCAGTCCTCCCCTTCCCCCCCAGAGAAGACTGCCCCTGGCTCAGCACGTGCTCTGACATCACCACCTGGCACAGGGACAGAGCCATGGGAAAGTTGAACATCGGCCACTTCCGAAGACACGGGGCCAGATTCAGTGATGGTGCAAGCGATGAAACTCCCCAGGTCTCAAAAGGAGTGCGTCTCCTGACACCATGGACGGTCTGCAGCACATCTCTCCCAGTGTGACCCAACTCCAAAGTTCCCTCTTTCTCTGGTGGTGGCATCTATGCTGCCCACTCCCAGGATTTTAATCTCAGCACTATCTGGTCTTTTGAAACCGCTACTCAGCACCTGGCCCCAGTGTCCTACAGGGACAGGTTCATTCATTTCCATAGGAATCTTCCCCAAACCACAGTCCCTCCTCACTCTTCCTTCTCATGCACCACATCTTTATTCCCCTTCCCCCTCAGCTTTATCCAAACCCACTCCTCTGACTTCATTTGTGGCTGCTGTGCTTTTCCCACTTCCTTCCCCAGAACACACTGGTTCATAGTGAAGCTGTACTATTTTTCACAGACACTTGGTTTCCCCACAGATTTTTAGAATTTCACAAATGACACTTCAGTAGGTCAAAAATGCTGAAATACAGGTAAGCTGGTATACTCTGTGCACCTTCTGTTCCTTGCGTCTTGGTGTCTCCTGAGCTAAGAGCTGATCATATAACCATATGGAGTGCAGTCTGCTAGAGATTAAGTGAAATTTGTTGCATTACCACACAGTAACTCTTATTCCAGCTCATCATATGTCAAGATTAACATAAACCTGGCAGAATAAGTGCATTCTGAGGCTGCCTGCATCGAGTCACAGCTCCTCCCCAGAACTGCTAGCATTCAAATCGTGTCCCAAAGACTGCACTACATCACGGGAGGACACCCTGGATAGTGGTATGACTGCATGCCTGCCAACATCTTCCAACCCTGAGCACAGACTGAAAGGATTGCTTCTGCCTACATGTGCTCAGCATCTGCAATCTGCTTGGGGTTCATGTCTGCTCAGACTCTTGTCTTTGCATCTGCTCAGCTTTTGCACCTGAATCTGTTTTGTGTCCACATCTGGGCATGCTCATCATCTGTTCCACACCTGCTCAACATCTGTCATGTTTCCTTAGTGCCTGTGTTCTCTTGGGGGTCCCCTTGGCATCACTGTCTGCTCTGCACCTGCTCAGCATCCCTGTTATCTTCTACTCGCTCTCTGAACCCTTACACTATCCGAGTAACACTCTCGACAGCGTACTCCAGTGCCGCTGCAGCAGGTGCCCCCCCGCCTTTACGGACAGTGTGGGTGCTGCACAGACCGAGCAAGTTGCCGGTATCTCGGCGGCAGGCGCTGGAGCTTCAGCAGGGAGGAGTCCGTCTCTACCTGCCCGCCACCAAACACGAGATCTGCTCCTTCTCCCAGCCCAGTCCGCAGCGTTCACCCCACACCCAAGCTGCATCCCCCCCACCGCATCCCGCACACGTCCGGGCTCCACACA